TCCGCCTGAAGAGTTCTTCGTGTCCTTAGACACCACCCGGTTTGAATGCCTTCACATTTTGCAAGACTTTGCAGAAAGAACGGGCCTCTTGGAGTAGGCAGCCATGCTCTCACGCAGCTTTGCCTTTCTGTGTCGTCTTCATTCCCTTTCGGCCTCATCATCCTCCACGAGACAGGCTGCTTGTTGCAAACCACATTTATGCGCCCGCTCTCTTGTGTTTCGCTTTCGTCCACGCGCAAGCTGTTACTGCGGGGCGCGTGTTTGCTTTACTTTGACGGGGCACAGCGCACGTTGTTTCGTGCCATGCTTCAGCTTGATGACTGCTATAGGGTGTGCGCAGCCGACTGCAGGCACGTGTGTGACTCACGAAGTCCTGGTTCAGGAGCATGTCCCAAGCTGCCCAAAGACCTGCAGCAGAGTGCTCCAAAGTGTACTTGGCGGCGCATCAAGCATTGCTGCGAGGCATCGGTTGGACGCTGTGGTCGAAGCCAATTCCGTGTTGCTCACGGAGGCCAGGCCACTTTTCATCGCGCTTAGCCAGTTATCTCTACATTCACGGTGGAGAGATTGCGCCTTCCGATAGTAACGGTTTGGTCGTCCAACTGTGTCTTGGGCGTGTCAGCTTGGCGGTGTTGCAGGAGGCGCAGGCTTGCCCTCGCAAGAGTGCGAGCCCGAGCATTCCGAGTTTGGAATAGCCCATGAAGAAAACGTGCCATCGCAAATGTACGGCTCACCAGAAAATCTTAACGAAGGGATTCTAATTGCGCGGTATGTGATTGCAAACCTGCTAACGTTCCCGTGTGACCTGGTGCGCCATAACTTGCCAAAAGTTTACGAAATGACTAAGAAGTTGTTCGACAAAGCAGGCTGCCCTTTTGGATGGAATTTTCTCTTACTCTTGCCTATCTTTGGCGTTGCCTGCTCTCGCGCCCGCTTGTACATTAAGGAATTCCCGTTCTTGTGTCGCTAATAAAAGCGGTGTTATAACTGCCCTGGCAGATATTATTTCTGGCTTCGAGAAGCTGGCAGACGCTTTGCAGAAGGCACGGCAGCTAGCAGCGCACGAAAGTGCTGGCGAACCGCCGATGCCCATGGAGAGTGAAGAGCAACCTGCCGGGGAAAAGCTGCGAGGGACACAGCATTTGCCAACAAATGCAACAACAGGCCAGCGCTCTTCTCGGATGAAGGCTCGCTTCCAGCCATCGGTATGCAGATGGCCCAAAATGGCCACTGGGCTGTTGGGCTGTATGACAAAGACCGTTTTCTTTAAAAACCCTGTCTAACAGCGAAGCTGGGTTGGACGCATCAACTATGGCAAAGCTTGTCAACGGGTCTCTTTGGAAGCGAACAGCTGTAAAGGATCAAAATCGTTTCTCCATGTGCTTGTGCTTGGCAATGAGCTGCCACATTGAAGAATGGCATGAATTTCTTGAAAAGGGTGGAGCGCTGATAGAGCCCGGCAAGTTCTTGATCCACAGGTCGACCATGCAAAGGGCCATGGAATCTGCGGATACCGCGGCAGAGCCAACTGTCCCAGACTCACTTCTGACAAAATTTGTTCAAGTCTTCCGCAACATCGAAAGGGCTCACGCGACGACTGCGCCAGACTACGACCAGGTTAGGGAGTACACCCCCTACTTTTTTGCCAACGATGCCCTGGAGTATTTCTGCAGTCATTATTAGAAACAAGCGGCCAGCCAAGAGCAAGCTTACCTGCAAGCTCCCAAACTTTTCAGCCACGCCGGCAAGCTGAAGTCCGTGCCGCGGCGTCTCGCCGCGGTCTTACACGCTTGGAAGCTTGGACTGCGCCAGCTCGAAACCCGGAGAAAGAATGGTCACGTTGCTGGCCTCGACGAACTGTAAAGGTGTCAAAGACATGTTGTTTTTAATAGTTGTCCTTCAAGTCGCAGTTGCTTCTGCTAAGCAGTGACCTACTTCAGATTCTTGACC